CTCTGAGTTGAGTGGGGAAAGGGGAGAGGAATGACTTCAGAAAAGCCAGACAAAGGCTTACGGCACAAGGTTACTTCTGGCTGAGTGTGTTTTGTGTGAACCCGACAAAAAGAGAAGTCAAGCTCAAGTTGTGGTGACATCGTCAGCACATGTCCTTTTTTTGGCAATGACCCCAAAGTGCTTCGTCCTTGTCTTCTTGCATCCTGACTTTCCCATCTAGCCTGGGGTTTAATGGGGGTCTCACATCCAAAAACTAACCAGGTGACTTAACTAACCATGTTACACCATAATACTGATTTGTTTGAATAAAGCATGTTCTGCAAACACACCAATTGCATTTTGTTAACTGGAGTTGAATGACTGGGTGCTCTTCCCTGCCACCAAGAAACTATGTATTTTTTAAAAAAAAGTTTAAAATCCAGTGCTGTTTTTCTGCAGTTTTTGAGTTCCTTGTACTTTCTCATTCAACATATAGCATCTGTTGTGAGAAAAGGACAATTTTTAGCCTGGATAGGTATGTTGGGCTTCAAAAAAATGGAAACTCTCAACCCCTGGTAACTTCATGACAGGTCCAGATGGTTATGTTGGTAACAGTATATGCAATGCTGTCTCAAACTCAGCAACTTTAAGATGTCTGGACTACAACTCCCAGAATTCCCCAGCCAGACAGCAACCTGGCTGGGGAATTCTGGGAGTTGAAGTCCACACATCCTAGTTGCTGAGTTTGAAAAATACTGATTTAAACAGCCACTGTTAAACAAAGCATAGTTCAGCCCATAGTCACAGCAGCTGAATAAGAGATGCTTTGAAATAGTTCAGAGTTGGGCTGTGAGAATTATACCTAATTTAGGTATGATTGTATGAGAATTGGGACCTCAAACAAGTCATCTCCTCCATGCCTTCAGTTCACCCTTGATGTAGCTCTGCAAAGGAGAGGCATTTTTCTGAAGCAACACCCCAAATTCAGAAACACCAATTCCAATTGGGATAACAACATTTTTGGTTTCAGTTCAGAATGAATGTACTTGCCTTGGTGCCCTTACTATCACTCTCTGTGGTTTTGCACTATTTACTACACTGTGTTTATTGTTGTGCCCTCTTCTGCAATCCACGAGGACGATGGAGGGTTGAGGAAAATTGTTCCTGAACAAACCAAGATAGAGTATAAATCTTAAATATTCCTAATAAAGGGCAGCCTGGTGTTAAATTGGCTGTCGGGCTTTGGAAGATCTGAAAACAAACTTGATGCTTCTTTTTCCCTGAAGTAACTTAGAGGAGGGAAGACAGAGAAAAATGTAATTAATTCTGTACACTTTCAGGCTTAATTTCCTCCCCACATTCCTTAGACACTTTAATAAAATAGTTATTGGACCCTAAGGCAGACTGTAACTTATTATTTCAAAAAGATGGATGTTCGTGTCAATATTTCTTTCACACGAATACAAGCCCAACCGTTGAAGTTAGAAACTTGATTACCTTCGTCAGCTTTGCTGAATCAGAAAATCCTCCAAAGACGTTGCATTTCTCTCATGCTTCCACTGTTTAAATTGAACAAAAATTTGCCTATGGAAAGAATAAAGGCTTTTCCACCCTGCCTTTCTGCCCAAAAGATTTTATGTGCCTCACGCATGCTCAGCAAAACAAGGGCAACCTTAGCCATCAGGTTTGCAATCAGAAAGACATCACCCAAAAAGGAAAAGAAAAGAGGAAAGGGGGGGGGGGATTAATAAGGCAGCAATCCTTAAGGAACATGCTAGGTGTTAAATAAAGATCTTCAGGATCCAATTCAGAAGGAGGGAAGACGTTTATGAAGCTGGTTTCCAGGTGTGAAGTAATAGTCCAACTGCCTTTATTGTTTCTCTCTGCTTTGATCTGATGAAGCCATTTTCCTTAGGAAAGTTGATATTTCCTCTCATTCTCCAATGCTCAGTGCCTGCTGAGTTTCAGATCCAAAGTGAAGGACTGTGCAACCCTATCTCTCTGTTCAAAAATACTACCCTGTGGAATTTAACAACGATTATGTCCAGATAAAAGTGTGCTGGAGCGCAGCCATCAGCCATCCTAGCTCTCAACCAGATGTGACAAGGCCCTGGTTCTCCAGGCTCACCATGACACCATCCCATTGATGGTAATGCCCCTTGCATAAGATGGGGGCCCTCTAAGTAGCCAGAAGAGCCTCTTCAATGTACTGGAGGTGGTCTCCAAAGCTAGACAGAGTGACCCACCTCAGCACCCCTGCTTTCCTGTTGAGAAGCAAGAGGCTGCGTGGCCTCCAGAAGCACTTCAAAGGGGGGCTTTGCTTGAAACGCTGTCCTCGAGCCACCCTTTCGATGCCTTGCACAGCTCCATGTTTGCCAGCTTTTTCAGATCACCCTTGTTTCTCACAATCCAAACACTGAGTTGGATGGATTCAACCAGCTTGTCCCCAGAGGCAAGGATAGCTCCCAGGGGCATCTGCAGGGACGTCTGAAAAAGTTAAGATGGCAGCCATGGCCGCGTGATCAAAGCCCCTTCCCCCTTTTCACATGCAGTTCACAGGGCTTGGATGGAGTGGCTGAGGCTGGCTTCTTGACAACCCCTCTTCTGGCCTTCCAGAGCATGGCGGTTTTGGGGACCTGAGGGCTATAGAACTGCCAGAGCCACGAATGGGGTATTGATTTAACAAAATTATATACTGCATTTCTGTTATGGCAAGTTGGAGTTATTACTGAAGTTGTCTGCAGCTGTTGCTTTTCTACACTGCTTAGAGTTGCTTGACCGAAACACTTCATAAACAAACAAAGCATTCCTGCACACAAACATCTGTGTGACCATTAGGCTTTAAGGAGTTTTTCCATGAATACTCCAGATCAACTGCAGCAAAGAAGTGTGGGATCTGAGATGGGCAGCTGGAGAGGGCAGGCTGCATGTTCTCCAGAGGGTCGCGCGCGCACACACACACCCTTTCTCAACACACAGTGGCTGCAACCCACTTAACCAGGTTACTGAATTAACCCTTTTTCTGTGTTCAGACAACACATGGAATCATTAAAAAAAACCAAAAAAACTGATGGGCTGGGCTGGGCTGGGGCAATAGGCTAAACCACAGAGAAATAATCGAGTTTGACTCAAACCAGTCTTCCCACGCTGTTCTCATGCAGTTGCTGTGTGGAATGAAACACAGTCATGCCACGCAATTAGTCTCTGAGAAGAGAAAAAAAGGGGTTCCCCCCCATCTCTCAGTTGCTGTAGTCCAGGAAGTGGGCTGTGTGTACAAGAATCAATGTGCACCTATTTTATGTCCATAAGTGCACAGGTGTGCATGCCAGAGAAAAAGAGAGTGTCATCAATCACTTTTGTTTGGTCCCCATCTCTTATTAGTGCATTATTACAAACTGAACAGAAAAACACATTTAGGAAAAAGAAAAAGCTGATGGGAGGGGAGGGGAGGAGAGCACTACTATCCCTAAGGTTTCTTTCTTCTGTTTCATTCAAAGTCATGTTTAGGGTAACCTTCTGCTCCTCTCCTATTGGATGATTGTGGATTTTGTATTTAATCTTGCCATCTTTTTTTTTTTGGCACTCTATCCTGGAGGCTTTATTAAGAAGCCATCAGAATGATGGAAACCGTGCACAGATGACATGCCTGATAGTTGGGTATGGCTTTCCCTGTCACCCAAAGAATCTGTTCTGTGTACAAGCTAAAACTAGCTGAACAAGAGTCCCAGGGAAATGGACATGAAGTTGACCGTGCAGTAAAGAGCAGGCATCAAGGAAGAGAAAAGCAGTGATGAGACTAAACTAGATGATGTGTTCAAGGTGTGTCTCCCAACAGTAGCAATTAAAACAAAGCAAGCAAAGAAAAAACTGGAAAGGTTGCAGGTCCAAGAGAGGCATAATGATGCTTGAAGAAAGACCTGCTTGATCCTCCATCCCATCCCCGCCTATCTAAAAGGCAGAGATGAGCTTCCCACCGCTCAGTTTTAGTCTTAAAATGAGGATGTTTTGCCCCTTAAAAAATCAATCTATTTGTGTGTGACTTCGTTGTTAGATCTACATCTCAGCTTTATGTACTGCACTATGTAGGAAGTTGAGCTAGATGATCTCCAGGATCACTTCAACCTTTACATCTGATGATTCGATCAATCACTAACCAAGATGGATCAGGAGGGGTCCTCAAATTCACCCAGCTCTTGGCTGATGAGCAGGGATAGAGGAGTCACCTGCTTTGCCATTCTAAAACTTTGTAAATCCACCTACTCAGCCATGGAAACCAGAATGATACAGGTAGTCCTCAACTTACGACCATTTGTTTCGTGGCCGTTAGAAGTTATGACAGCGCTGAAAAAAGTAACTTATGACCAGTCGTCACACTTACAACCATCACAGCATCCCTGCAGTCATGTGATAGTGATTTGGGCACCCGGCAACTGGCATGTATTTACAACATTCCAGGGTCACATGATCACCATTTGCAACTTTCCCAGCTCACTTCCGACAAGCAAAATCAATGGGGAATTGCATGATTCACTTAATGACCACTGCAAAAAATGTCGTAAAAATCAGGTGCAGTCACATGATGCCTCACTTAACGACTGCACAACTTAACAATGAATTTCCTAGTCCCTATTGCTACTGGGACTACTAGTTTGAAATCTGGTGACTTAAGACCATCTAATAATTTATAGGAAATGTGAACTGCATCCTTAAAGTTTATACATCTTTTTCAGAACTTCAGGAACATTCAGAAACTTCAGGAACATTATGCCCAAGCCTGGAGCCCTGGGCACAGGATAAAGCCCATCTCTTGGCTGGATGGATGATCGGAGGGATAATGGCCAGCCACTATGTGTTTTGTTTTATTTATTTTATTTTTATTTTTTATATTGTGTATTTTATGTAATTTATTTATTTCACTGTAAGCTGTCTAGAGTCACGTAAAAGTGAGATGGGTGGCTATAGGAATCAATAATCAATCAAATAAATAAATAAAATTTGCACCAACCAACAATCTTCCACAACAATTCTATATTTTAATTTATCCTGGAAGGGTTAGGAGTTTACATCGCTAATGAATGGCATCCTCAGCAATGAACAACATTTCTAGAAAAGTAGAACTTTCGGAGACCAACACAGATTGCTCACTTCACCTCTAGAATGACAGCTTCCCTACTGGTAGCCTGCCAATTTCAGGATAGTTGGGTATCGGGTACGATGGGCCATGCATTTCTGCCGATCAATAAAAAGGCTATTGGTCTTCACGGCGATCTCCTTCTCCAGATGCATCCGGCTGTCCTCCAGATTCCGGAGGCTTTGCTCGGATTCCAGCAGCTTCTTTTTGAGAGCTTCAATGGATTCTGTCAGTTCTTCCACTTCGCTGATGAGCCTGAACGGGGGACAAGAGAGGGGGGCATGTTGGAGGCGTGGGGGTGAGTCTTCCCCATAGAGAATGAGAAGCTGGGGGCCAATCTGGCCTGGAAATAAGATCATCAATACATCTGAAACATGAATGCAGATCTAGCTAAGCCACAGGCTATGAGCAAATGGATCTCAACAATGACCCCATCGCACTAAGCCATAGTTTATTTCACAGTGGTTAATTAGCCGTGAGTGGCACGGGGCCAGCTTATTTGTGGGACCACCACCCCCTGAGGGTATCTGCTCACCCCAACAGGTCAAATAGGGTGGGCAAAGTCCAGGACCTTTTCTTAAATGTTGTCATCTGGCAGGACCTTCTCCGTAGAGGCCCCTGCCCTACAGAACAGCCTCCCTCCTGAGATCCAGAGGTCCCCTGCCCTCCTAGGCTTCCAGAAGGCCATGAAGACCTGGCTTTTCCCCAAACCTTGGACCAAGATGGGAGTTGAGCCCAGCAAACATGGAGTTGGTATGGTGTTGTCAGGGCAACATGATGGCAAGTGTGATTTTGGGGTGGGGGGTACATTGTGGGATTACTGTTTTATTTTTTATGCTTTTATTGGTTGTTGCTGTGAGCTGCCCAGCATTACTGTATATAAGATGGGTAGGCATGTAACTCTTTTAAATAAATAAACAAACACAGTTGAATGAATTACATTTGGCAGGTTCACCTTCTATACTAATACTCTTCCCAAAATCAAGTACTTGAATTCAACAAAAGAAAGAGCTGGATAAAAAGCGAATAGCAATTTCAACTGTGTGAGAGAGAATCAGACGTTCTTCTGGCTGATTATAGGAGAGCTAACCCTGTTGCTTTCAAAGTAATTGATTTCATCCAGAGAAAACACACATTAGGAAGATGCCCCTAATTAAAATGGTTAACTTGAGTGAATAAGCAGTGTTGCACCTCTGCGTTTATACCCCTTTTGAATAATCTTTCACATGCAGCCATTTTTCAGCCTTTAAGTCAGTCCTTCCTTTTCATGGGATTTTAAGGGCCAGAATGAGTACATATATCTCAAGACTTATAGGGACTGGAGGCATTTACCTATTACAAAACCAAAATATTCAGCTATTTCACTCCATAATACCCCCCACCTAAGAGAGCCAAATCCTTACTCTACTTAAATTGGTGATGTCACAACATCAACGACATCACCCCACCCTCCCACAGGTATTTGGAGACTCCAAATTATTTATTTTTAAAATCAGAAAGCGCCGCTCCTCGCTCACACACACGTGCAAAACCATAAGAGAATTGCACATTTGTGATTTGTATGGAGAGAACAACACGAAGTGTCTGGGAGCACTAGAGGAAACCAGCGATGTTTGACGATCCAAGATTCTGAAATGCCAAATGTCTCCAATACATCCAACCAAAATTCTTCTCCCTTGACATTTAAGAAGAAAACTTGCCTGTTTCTCTTGAAGAGGATACAGCCTAATGACTGTTTTTATAACATAAAGAGGTAAGATCCAGACATTCTGGCATTCTAAAGAATTTCCACTTACACCTGAAAGCCTGGAAGACCGATTACTTCCCTTCCTTGCGTTAATTTCAGGTCCTTCTCTGGTTTTACGGCATTGTGGAGGAGAAGGACGTACAGAGGCATTCGACAGTTTTCGTTTTTCTTCTTTTGCTTATTCAAGCGCACTGAGGATGGGAACTGTGAATTGGCCGTTGTCCCTCAAGTGTGTTTACAGAGCAATAAACATCTGCTCCATTCCTTCTGTCATCCCTTCTCAGCCATAACGCAGGTAACCATTTGAAACATCTGACTGAGAACCGGTTGGATTTGGGCACATCTGAGATGTGACTCTGAGCCAGTCGGTTTGGTACAATTCTCTATTCTCAGCAAAAGAACATGGTTTTTCCCATGCCACACTAAGAGCTGCAGATCAAATCAGACTTTTATTATGGCCATAAGATCAGCAGTCCCCCCCCCCCAAATTCCCCCAAAGTAAAAGAGGTAAAATAAAAATATATAAAGCTAAAAAAAGGAAATCAGTACGAGTTTTCAGATCCGAGGAGAGGGCAGAGAGGCCCAGAATTGGGCAACTGGAAAAAAATATCCAAACACTGATGAGACAGGAGACATGACGAATAGAACTCATGCTCTCTACTAAGAATTTCTTCACAAGAGGAGAAATAACAGACATCTGGGAGTCGCAATCTATATCCTTCTAAACCAGATGTGGTGATCTCAGATATGTGTCTCCCCATGTCAAAAGGGTTCTAACCAGTTCAGCTTCCTGATGTGAATCTAATTTGCTCCTTTCTCACATTTATGCTGCATTTTCCACCCAATGGATTGACTTGGATTCTTTCTCTTTCTTTCTTTCTTTCTTTCTTTCTTTCTTTCTTTCTTTCTTTCTT